CTGATAATTGTATGATAGTATAATCACCGGACTTTCTCCACGATTCATTGATAAATGAGCCACCACACCGTCACTCTTCTCTAATCGTCTCATGATTGCTAAACATTCTTCAGCATTAGTTAAATTCCGTATTTTTGTGTTATAGATTTGTTTGCGATCACGTATAGTCGTTAATGATGGTATTTCTGTGTCTTGAGCATTAGTAATACTTTTCTTATATATCGCTGATGGTTTCTTTTGTTGTGAATATGCTTGATGTATATTAGCAATTACACTTGGTTCAGTAGATGTAAACGGTCGAGATAATTTCGTTGAATTTCCATGAGGCATTATTACTGGTGTTTGAATCAATGGGGTCGGTGAAATATATTGTAAAAATATTGGAAGATGTTCTGTATCTATATTTTTGGTGGTGTAACAAATCATACGGCGTAAATTTGGATCTGATTTATTCGTGGCATATAATCTAGGTAAGAAAACAAACACGCATACTTCATTAATTCAATCGAAAACAGATAACATACATACATACCTATTAAGTTTTATAACATCATTTTCTTGTACAATATGAGGTACATATTTTCTACCATTTCTTTCGTTATAATAATATTTACCATGTTTACCTTGCCGTACGATCTGATAATTGTTACTTTTACTCAATACAAATAATGTTTCTGCTGAACTATTTTGAATCCAGACTCCATTACCATCTTTGCCTAATGATTGTTTATTTTCGTTTGTATATTTTATAACGAACGATGCATTTTTTCTGATAAGTTTTGGTGGTACGATATCAATAATATTTCCACTTGCTATATTTATAATTTGTTTAATCACATGTGATGCATCATCAAATACTTGTTTTATTGTTGTTGCTACCGTACGTTTTTGAATAGGAGAATTTTCACGTTCTTTTAATGGTTCTTCTTTCCATTGATCTTCAGTTTCCAATTCCGGACCTATTTGAATTGATGATTTAATATTATGTGTTGTTATTGTTGCTGGTTGATGTAATGAGGAATCGTGATATTGTTTTGTGGAAAGTAATGGTACGAAATGATTTGTTCTCCATATATGATCATCGTTCGGTTCTGGTCCTGACCACATTATTCTTAACGGTGTATCATTAATAAATGATTCATCATATGTTC